GGAATATGAATAGGGCAGTGGAGTGAGTGCAAAAAAAGAAAGAGGAGAGAGAATACAAGAGGAGCAGGCTGACAAAGACCCTGAATCACTTTGTTTTCACTTTAAAATTCACAATCTTCCCTAACCGAATTTCCACCCATCATCCCAACTTGATCCTCTACTGATTTTTTTTTTTGTTTTTCTTCAGAAACATCTCTTTATTTTCCTTCTTCCTTTGCATTCTCTCACTCATGTTTTTCTACCCCCTCTGCTCTCCATCCTATTCAAGAAAATGAGTTGTGTGCTAGAGGGGAGGTATGGTGGGGGGTGCTGGTTCTTCTAATTGAAATTCTTTACAGAGTATCCATGGGAATAGTAAACTTTGCAGGGGAAGGAAAGAAAGACAGTGGACTAATAAACGAAAGAGAATAAAAAAACGAGCAGAGACAGCGAGCTGGACAGTTTAAGTGAAGTAGAGTGAAAAAGGGGAAGAATAGGAAAGAGTTTCCTTCACTCTTCCTAACTCCCATAAATAGTTTTTTTTTGCAGTATTTCTCCCTTGTTTCCACCCTTACAGCCGCCTCCTTTGTCACCTGTCAGCCCCCGCCCGTCCTTTGTCCCTGTCCACCCTCTCCATCTGTTTTCCCTTCTTACTCTAATGCTAAAGAGGGACAATGGCACCCCATGCTGGGTAATGATGTGTGAGTTTTAATATGTCCAAGCTCATGTCTCCTCTGCTTTGTTCCCTCAGGTTGACGATGCCATGCTAATGTTCGACAAAACGACCAACAGACATAGAGGTAAAGGCGCACACAAACATTCCCTCTATGTAAATATATGTTGACATGAAGAAATGCATCCCTGGAAATAAAAAGGAGAAGCAGCGTGATAGAGTCATTAGGTGAACCGCTGCAAAACAGGCAGCATTTTCCCTCCAATCACATCATTTTGCCTTTCCTCCACTCCCTCCTGCTCCATTTATCTCTGTCCGCTCTGTGGGTGAGGGCAGGGCCCGCAGAGGGTCGCCATACAGAGTCAAGATGGCTATGGGGAATGATGTAACTTAACGAGACAAGCGAGGAGATGAAGATGGAGGGAGGGAAGTGGAGGGGGGATAAGAGAAAAAAAGAGGAGCAGAGAAACCGATGATCATCTGGGATCAGTTTTTAGGAGCCACACCCACTCTTTCCTCTCCTCTATTATGCTTATTTCTGATTGACAACCATGACATGCAAGGGTCACCTCCTCTCTCTGGGCTTTGTGTTATGATGATGAATGCACAGCAAAATGTTGATTTGAATGTTTTGTTTTGTTAGAAGAGCAGCAGCCTAATATTTTCTTCTCTATTTTGTCTTCTGTTTGTCTCTCTTAGGTTTTGGCTTTGTCACTTTTGAGAATGAAGACGTGGTCGAGAAAGTTTGTGAGATCCATTTCCATGAGATCAACAACAAAATGGTATGCATTTAGAAGGGTTTGCACAATGAAAATACTCTCAACAAAAATGTAAACACTTTTGGTTTTGCTCCCATTTTTGATGAACTCAAAGATCTAAAACTCTTTCCACATACACAATATAACACAATATAAATATTT